AAGCGCTGTCTTAATATAGACTGCGTCTAATAAGTAAAAATGCGTCTTCCTATTCGTGGATGGGGTTAATTTGACATGCAGAGTGACTCTTTTGGCCATGTACATCACATAATATTAGGCACTCCTTGCTGATCAACCTTCTGTGCATGCCAGCCCCAATTTGCCACAGTGCAAGTCAACAATGACAGCATTTATTCTACCGCCTAGGAGCTTTTCCGGAAAACTACTTCAAGCACAATATGCGATCCATTTCCTAGCTAATGGGGCGTGCTGCTGATGTAGTATGGGATATGAAGCGGCTCAGGACGGTTGTTAATGCGACCGAGTCCTCCTGCCCTGGGATTTCTTGATCACGAAAGCCTCGCAGCCATTTATGGATCCAGTTTTGAAATGGATCCGCGCGAGATCGGGACCCAAGATCTACCCGTAAGAGCCTCGTCTTGTATATTTCAGGCAGAGTAAGATCGGTTCGCATGCTGGATTGCTTCTTGTCATCCAATAAGGAGAATACCTCTAGAGCCATTACCTTATTAAAGGCAATAAGCGCTTTATTTGTTTTTTTGAGTAATTAATCTTTATTGTAAACAAGGTTTATCTGTAAGAGTAGTAGTGATGAACTGTACTGTTGAACCAAATTGCGGAGTTTTAGAACCAAGTCCTCTGTAATGGTCGCTTCTACGCCAGGCATTTCTGCATCTCTTTAGCAATGCTTCGATCCAAGCCGATTAGCGGACGAGTCGCCTGGCAATTTTATCCTCTTTCTTGAGGAGATTAAGGAGATGCGTAGTCTTAAACCGGCGTAAATAGTAAGATCATTATCATCGGTTGCTGTTTGCCAGTGCTTAAAGAATTTATCTGAGTGCCGCCTGAAACTAGATATCACAGATTCATAATTTTAATGTAATCAGAGAAACAGGTTGGGCTGGTATGGGCTTAGATTTGAAGATGTCTTATATATCGATCGAGTTCCCGCAGCAATCGAGTATGTCGACACACCGATGTAGATTCGGTTATGGCTTTACCTGTCGAGGTCAGGACTAAAATAGATGTCAGTGGGTCTAGCGGAATAACTTATTCCCATCTGACTAAATGACTCAAAAGTGGAAAAAGCAAGACTGTGTACGAATTCGTACAGATGACATACATACAAGCAGCCGAAGCACTCAGCCCAAAAGCCATCCCAAGTACCCTATATTCCGTAGCATCTACAACGTAGAAAGCTGACATATAAAACGTGCAAATTTATTAATTTAAGTGTATAATTAAATAAACGTCCAGCTTTTAAGCTACTAGAAAACATGCTGCTTATTAAATAATACTGTTAATTTATTAATTAAGTTATTATATACAAGCAGCTAGATACTTAAGCGTTAAAGTTACGCAGAGGTATAGCCCTTGCTTTAAATCTAACTGTAAACGGCTGAAGTGGCGTAAGTTGACCATGTAAATAGGAAATTGGTGGCATCCCCAGCCAAAAAGGGTGGCAGACGCAGGTTGGCTAGGAATGTATTCCAATCAAATCTGATCTCACAATTCAGGGTCGTGCAACCGGCTGGTTTCGCCGGAAACGCATGAGCTGTCGGAGCTGAAGCATTAACCCCTCCTCCATGTTAAGTTATTGAACGGTGATCTTTTCCTATTAACCTTTTAGCCGACCAATGGCACTGTTGATCAAGCTAGAAGCCACTGAGCCTCTGAATTAAATCGACTGGCAGAATCAGATATTCTTCTTTAGTTATTGAAAATGTATTATCAAAGCATATAATCAAAACTATATCACAGAAGAGTATTTTGAATATTTGGTTTTCTCTATTTTCAAACCCAGAGCTGAAGTAGAAGAAGATCATCATCCTACTACTAGTAATCTAGGGGGCGTACGACTTGAGTATAGAGTTGTAGTAAGAGTAGCCAGTTCCACTTGGGGGCTCGAAGCTGAAGATGTAGTCAGCCCACCATGGACCGGCGGCCCACCACAGAGCACCCTGCCAGACGTCACTGTTCTCCTGCAGGTGGTCGAGCAGGCCCTTAACGGCGCTCTCGCACTGAGAGTTGGCGCCGCCGGCGAACTCGCCGAGGATGCCGATCTTGTTGTTCTTGCGGAGCCAGGCGGTGGCGCTGGCCACGCGCTCAGCACCAATGGTGCCGGACACGCACACGTCAGATGTTCCCGAGTTGTCTGAATCGAGGTACTGGTGCATCTCGTAGATGAGCTTGTCGGCTGAGTCGGTCAGCCCGGCCAGGTTGTCGTTGGTAGCGGCCCAAGCGTGTGCGCCCGACCAGCTGTTGCCCTCCGCGAAGATGTACTGCGAGGTCGCGCCCGCGCCACGGATGGCGTCAATAGCGGCCTGGTTCAGGTTCAAAACGAGTGCTTGGTCCATGTCGTGATACTCGTTGTTAGTATCGAAGATAACCTTCTCGTTGGCCTTGAAAGCGGTAGCCAGTGTTGTCCAAAAGCTACCGAAACCATCAACATCGGTGATGATGTTACCGTAATAGCGCCCAAAGTTATGTCTGCGAAAGTTTAGAGTTAGCATGTGTCGTTCGTCGTAAGGATAGTAATAGTCTAGAGCCAGGTTGCTACTAATACCCGAGCCTATGGTACGGAGAAATACGATCAAATAAGAAATTACATACGGGTCTAAAATAGCATATGCGCCGTTGCTAGTGATGTAGTCCACCGTAGCAGTCAGGTTCTTCAGGTAGTCAGAAGCAGCCGCGGTGGTAAGCTTATCGGGCACGAGACGCTCCATGGAGAAAGCTACGCGAAACAGGTTGTATCCCTGTTCTAAGAGAGTCTGTAACAGCTGGTAAGAACCTACCCATCGAAAGCGAGAATCCTAGATTCCTTACCGATATGGCTGCATTATCCGGGAAGTAGAACTCCTTGCCCCAGGTTCCCGGATAAGTGCCCTGTCCAAATTCGGCGACTGACAGGTTGATTCCAAGCCACTTAAACTTCCCAGCTGCACCAGAGGTTGGAGTCGAAGTTGGCGCCGCCGTGCGTGTCGAGGTGACCAGTGTGGTGGTAGCGGCGGTCCCAGGCAAGCACTGGGAATACCACTCGCTCGAAACAGAGCAAGAATAACCAGACACACATGTTGTATCGCCAGTCCAGCCGTTGCCTCCACATTGAGCATAAGGCCCGGCCGCGGCGGCGGCGAGACCGGCGAACATGCTGTTGACGACGAAGGAACGCATCTTGACTCAAAGCTTCAGAAAACTCCGTTGGCTTGTGTGAAGAGTGAGGCTCTCCCCTCGGCCTCTAGGAAGCGGACAGACGTCATTATATATCTCCATAGCTATCATGTATAAGCAGATCTCGAGGCTATCGGTTAGTGAGCCGAGCACTCAAAGGAGGTCGCTAGTCCGCGTTCCTGCATGTGCAACCTTGCTCAGGGTTCATAGCAACTAACCAATAATGGAGACACGGAGGCTAGTTCAGTGCCTAAAGCGGCAAGTGGAGCTTTCTATGATGGAGTCGCGGGATGGGTATAAGTACGATCTCGTCTGATCTTTGGTGCTGTTCTGCCTATTGTTCCACGAATGGCCCATTAAACTCAGAAATATAAGGGGTGTATGTAGAAAATTAATAAGTACACGGCCGTCGTTTGCATTGACTCTCGAGAATCTATCGCCATGATGCGCAATGGATAGACATAAATGTGATACAAGTAGATTGCTGTCGTCATGGACCAGGGCTTCCTAGTGATATCAGGAGATGGATAAGTATGCATGTCTACTGGCAGAATACCTAGCATAATAACGGTAGAGTATACTGCCTCTGTTAACCTACCTGATCTGTTCTTATATGTCTTCTTTCAGCATCATTTTGTAGTCCGAAGCCGGTAAGAAAGCCTCCGTTCAGGCATGATCGGCACTCCACCCCACGGGATAGCTGCCGGGCTCACGCCGGCCTTAGCAACAAAGCTGTTCATGATACATATACTTCGTACAACCGGTTCAGAAGTGATTTGAGTGCAGTAGCAATTGGCGAATTTAATGATGACTCAGTAGGTAGACGGTTAGCATCGAAAGTCCTTCCTTCAGCCCCTAAAGCAACATGAAATGTAAAATGTAAAGTGTAAGGAAGAGGTAGATATAAGTTTGTGAAGTGTATAAACAACTATAGAGGCTACTAAGAGAAGAAGGTTACACTTCACAAGGGATATCTGGAGACCAACAAACCTATAAGTTTGGAAAAAAAAAACTAAAAAACTCCCGGGCCCGATACTATTGATCATCTCCACTCGCTTTAACGTCTTTCTTAACCTATACACATATAGTCTAGATAATATGCATTCCTGCGAAGCGAGTGTTAATAGCTGCTTTATCTCTGTTGCGTTGAATGCGGAAATAGTCCAGTTTCTTGAGCTATACCAGGCAACTATTAAAATATAAAATAACACAAATAAGCTAACAATCATACGACAATTAGCAGCTTCTTTGAATTATACTTCCCGAGGTGTGGACGCGAGTAAAGCATAAAAGACTGGCTATTGACCACTGCAGCACTCGGAGTTAATGAACACCATTTTAGACCGTGACTTGGGAGGAGTTTAGAAGTTTCTAGAGGCGCGCTTGTCCTAGGAAAGAAAGTGCTTTTGTTTATAATATGTGAATTCCAAGGCTGTTATACACGGCAATGGAGAAGATATTGAAATATATCGAGTTTGAGAGACTCTTCAGATGAGGCTGACCTCCATCCTTAACCCGATGTTTGGTCGTGTTGCGATTCAAGTAAGCTATTTGATTGCGCTGGTTCTAGTATTCCAACGGGTTTCACATCCGATGCATGTGTGAGTTCTTTGCCCCCATCAAGCGTGTAGTCAGATTTTGTGTCGAACATCTGTATTGGCGCGCTTGTGCTTGAGTGAGGCTTAGTGAGATACAAAAACAAGAATGAGTTGTTGAGTTCTTGTTCTGGTCAAACAATGGCCGAGTCGTGAGAGTGGATCTGCAGCACGTAATAGCGTGACTTAAATTCTGCAGCAACCAGCAGCGTCTTCGTGGCTCAGTTGGCTAGAGCGTTGGTCTCATATTCGTATGATCCAATCCAAGATTGGGATATCCAAAGGTCGTGAGTTCGAGCCTCACCGAGGACAACGTTTTTGCAGGTTTGCAAGTCTGTCGTCTGCTGTCATGTTAAACTGTCTTATCTCGCATGCGTGAGAGATGGACAAGCCTGTCTTTTGTCCTTGGCAACACTAAGCAATGTTAAGCGCTGTATCTTTTGGTTTTTATACCCAGGTTTTTTTTTCATTGCCCCTTTTTAAAAAGACGTCCGGATGCCGGCATATTCAGCGTGGACTAACCCACCTAAGTTAAATAGGGTTGGCGGGTACTACGCCTAGGCGATAAAGTTTCACATGAAACAAACCACCAGCTCCCCCTTCCTGACTGTTAAACAATTAGGGGTAAGGGGCTCTTGTAAATCTAATGCTGACTGAACCTCATGAATATTTAAAGTTATCGCCAGGCAATTGGTTTCTGCTTGATCGCCTCACCGCTGTTCGGGTTTATGGAAATAATAGCGGCTGCTCGCATCAAGGGAAGGAAAGCTTGCGGTCACGGTCTAATATAACCTCACAGTCTGTGTTCCGGCTACGTGCTTACTTAGATGGATGTAATGTCGCGTGACATTATATACATGATTTATTACCACGCAAAAACCACTTCAATTCACATTGCACTGCTTGTTCTTGGGTATGTGACAGCCATAGCAGCATTCCTACGCATTTTGTAGGTATGTTGAAAAGGAGGGGAGAACGCGTGGCAGCTTATACGGTCACAGCATACCTTAGATTTCGTTTAACGGCTACCTAGGTAATTACTAGATACCCGGCAGCATCAAGATCTGACAAGGCCACGGTAGTTCAATTATACAGTACGACATGTTTGGCGCCAGGTCGTAGTGGGGTGCAGCAAACCTACTGTAGCGCTGTCTTTCAGATTTGATTAGTGGTCCAGCCTGTATACTTTTGGTAGCGCGCTTGTCACCCCACATACAAAATATAGGAGCACTACCTAACCAGCCAGTAATAGGGGACATAGGGACCGCTGTAGATCATCAGTACAGTACGCGCAAATGCAGGCACATGTGCAGATATGCGTAAGTAGATGCTTATGCTGGCGCCGGTGCAGGGGGCAATTGAAATGTTCGACGTGAAGCTAGGTACCTAAGGCAAACAGAAACATCAAGTTGCTGGTGGAAGCTTGGTTCATGCTGTGATACCTACCAGCTAAAATTATTAACAAAAAATCACTCTGTAATATCAACGGTGCCAGTAGCAACAGGCACTTTATACCTTACAACTTTGTCCGTAGTGATCTTTCGTCCTGCAACAAAACGACGGCCCGAAAAAGACAGCCAACGACGTGAGCCCAGCAAGTACCTCGATTTTGCATTGGCGCTCTACACTGGGAACCTTCAAGCTCTCTCTCTTCCCACCAAAAACCAAAAACACAACATCTAACACAACGTACATACATGCGTCCAGTTCAACTGTGACCCCTTCCTTTTTTCCTGGCTCTTGCCTCTTTTGAAGTTGCCTCCCATCAGTCCGCTCACCCGGTCGGCGAACCTCTAGACGCACACGCTGCATCCAACGTAGCATCATCTGCACGCCTCCCGCAGCCTCCCCCGACGCCGACCCGTGCATACCTACTGACTGGTCCCTTGCTCATGGCAAGGACGTTTCGAGAGCATAATATCGCCCGATACCCCTTAAGTCGCTGATATCATCAATCTTAATCTCAGTCTCGAGTCCCGTCTTCTGTTTGCTCGGCTGGCAACATGTCGACCCTCGAAGAGCCTGTCTCCGAAACAACACCCATAACGCCCCGGCCTGACGATTCCCCAACTGCCTCGGACAAGGAGACGGTATGTACTGCACTGCACGTATGCACTCTCAAAGCCACTATCACCTAGACTACGCAATGCACCCTGTAGAACATACTAGGGCTGACCTCCCATTTCCTCCAGGATACTTTTGAAGATGCTGTTGACACGGGATCTGTCCGATCACTCACAAACCGCAAGGTTCCCCCGCCGAACTCGCCGCCTCCAATTAGTGCCGATTTAGATAGTGTCTCTAATGCCCCAGAGAGCCCCGTGAACACAGAAAAGCCGAACGGTCACGCAGCAAGCGAGACTGTCGAGGTTGAGGGCTCTGACGACGGCAAAGGGACTATCATCACAGACTCGGCAAGGACCTCAAAACGGTTTTCGCATACTTCACAAGCATCGCAAGCTTCTTTAGACAACATAGATCTCGGTGATGGCCCTCCGAGTGAACAGCCAAAAGGTTAGTCACGCTCATAGAACGGCTCACACATCGAGTTATCGATTGGCTAATCTTGAGAGCAGTGGAAGCAGTTGAAGTAGAGGAACGCGTTGTGCCAGAAGTAGCGAAACAGCCCACGAAGAAGCTTTCTCTTAGCAATATTGCATCCTCACTACCTTCTATGCCATGGTCTCCCTCGAACGGCGATTCCCCCCCGAAGACGAGTCCCGTCCCGCCTCCACCGCCGCCTCCTACAAGGAAGATCACAAGCCCCTTTTCTTGGCTATCCCGAAATTCTGGCGCCAAAGAAAATGTCGCGCCGCCAGCCCTGGGTGGCACGGGCTCTTCTAGGCGAAACACAGCAAGCTCAGTAGCTACGATGACCAGCAATCCCGAGATGATGCTAAGCAAATTGGAAGAAGAGGACCCTTCGGCCAGTGCAAATGGGGGAGTCCGCCTGTCAAGAAATAGTTTACGAGATAGATTCAAAATGGTGCGCCTACGAGAGGAAGCGGGCATAACCTTGAATCCAAGCGACGATGAGCAATCTCAAGGTATTGTCGCGAACTTGATTACGCCTAGCACAGAAACTGCCGATGGACCAAATGTTCAACTACCACCAGCCTCACCACTACCTCCAACTGCAGATACGAGTCTGGCTCCCGGCACTGTATCGGGTGTTTCAGCCGGCCCCTCTGCTATGAGTGATACTCCAGTTGACTGGGACCTCTGGCAATCTGTTGTCTACGAGGGACCGGCCGCCGTTGCAAGAACGAGTGCGGAGGAATTGAATCGGGCAATCATGACTGGCATCCCTAATGCTATTCGTGGTGTTGTCTGGCAAGTCCTAGCTCAAAGTAAAAACGAAGACTTAGAGCTAGTCTACAGGGAACTAGTATCTCGGGGAACGGATAAAGATAAGGACAGGAACAGCAACAGCACGGCCGCAAGTATCATCAGTAACGGTAACTTGGTAGCTGATAAAGAACCTGCGGCCTCATCTGCGTCTTCTACGAAGTCTGAGCACTCTGGAAGCGGCAAGCGATTACCAGGCACGCCTCCTGAACCGTCCGAGGCCGCTTTGAAGGCCCAAGCTCTGGCCGCCCTGGAAAAGAAAAAGAAAGACAAGGAGGACGCGGTTGCGTTGCAGAAGCTCGAGAAGGTAATTCGGAGAGATCTTGGTACCAGAACAAGTTATTCGAAATACGCTGCTGCTGCTGGCCTGCAAGATGGACTCTTCGGTGTATGCAAAGCTTATGCACTTTTCGACGAGGGCGTGGGATATGCTCAAGGCATGAACTTTCTCATAATGCCGCTACTCTTCAATATGCCTGAAGAAGAAGCGTTTTGCCTCTTAGTACGCCTCATGAACCAGTACAAGCTACGGGAGCTCTTCATCCAGGATATGCCGGGGCTTCACATGCACCTATATCAATTTGAGCGGATACTAGAGGATTTGGAGCCAGCGCTATATTGTCATTTACACCGCCGAGGAATATCACCACACCTGTATGCCACACAATGGTTTCTTACCTTGTTCGCCTACCGGTTTCCCCTTCAACTAGTTCTCAGGATCTACGACCTCATTCTTTCCGAAGGCCTATCCGCCATTCTTCGGTTCGGTATAGTCCTCATGCAGAAGAACTGTTCTACGCTCCTTGGCATGACAGACATGTCAGAGTTGACTACGTTCCTAAAGGACAAAATATTCGATGTTTACATCGATCAATCACCAAGCGCCGGGAGTATCCTCGAGAACGGATTCTTTGGCAGCAGCTCTTCTAACGCTGACAAAGAGGTTTACCGAGCTGACCAACTAATTCGTGATGCCTGCGAGGTAAAACTTACCCCAGAGCTCTTGAAAGCTTATGCCACGGAGTGGGAGGAGAAAACACGCGCAGAAAAAGAACGGGAGCAAGAATTAGAGCAGCTCAGGGCCGCCAACATAAGCCTGGCTATCAAGGTCCGCAAACTCGAGGAGCGGATTGAAGTCAGCGACCGTGAACAAGCGGACATGGCGAATGACCTCATTCATACTCGGGTCGAGAACGAAGAACTGAAAGATAAGAACGAGAGCCTGACCGGGCAGGTCAAGGAGCTCCGTATCGTGATTGAAAAACAACCTGAGGAGATTGAGCAAGCTTGGAGACCAGAGCGGGACGACCTCATGAAACGAAATGCTAAAGTTCATGAGGAGAACGAGAGGCTTGAAAAGGAGTTGTCCGAACTTGAGGAGCAACTTGTCCAGACTAAGATGCAGTATGCAGAGGTATGTCCAAATCTTGTGCACCAGGTTTGCTATGGGCTGTACTAATCATTCCACAGACTAATGCTCAGCATGAGGCACTCAAAAGAAAATGGCAAGACCTCAAAAAGCAATTTGCTTGAGTTAATATTAGCACAGATATCAACCCGCTCGAGGTTGAAACATGTGCATCCCCTCTGAAACTCCTGCTCAGCCTTTCAAGAGCTGAACTTGGGCGGGAGCTATTCCTTTCAGCCAGAAAACCGCTCAGGCACGAATTGAAATGACGCAAGGACATACATGTTAAGCCGGAATCAACAATTGGATGTGGGCGGGATACCGTTCCCTTTTGTTTTTGTTGCCCTTAGGCTTTTGGCCACGTATTGGTAATTTACTTGCATGCATGCATCAGGAACGCAAGCGGGCATGTTTTCTTCTCTTTTTTTGTCAACGCATATCCGGCGTTTTTTTTATGCCGGTTGAAAGGGCACACGACACAGACAGCATCAGAAAGGTGCTGTTACTTGAGTATGGCATGTCCTCGATACCGTTACACAACAACTTTCTCCCTGGG